CGTGATCCCAAGGTGTCACAGGTAGTAAACAGGAACGTGATACCAAGGTGTCACAGGTAGTAAACAGGAACGTGATACCAAGGTGTCACAGGTAGTGAACAGGAACGTGATACCAAGGTGTCACAGGTAGTAAACAGGAACGTGATACCAATGTGTCACAGGTAGTAAACAGGAACGTGATACCAAGGTGTCACAGGTAGTAAACAGGAACCTGTCCCAAGGTGTCACAGGTAGTAAACAGGAACGTGATACCAAGGTGTCACAGGAAGAAAACAGGAACGTGATACCAAGGTGTCACAGGTAGTAAACAGGAACGTGATACCAAGGTGTCACAGGTAGTAAACAGGAACGTGATACCAAGGTGTCACAGGTAGTAAACAGGAACGTGATACCAAGGTGTCACAGGTAGTAAAGAGGAACCTGGTCCCAAGGTGTCACAGGTAGTAAACCGGAACGTGATACCAAGGTGTCACAGGTAGTAAACAGGAACGTGATACCAATGTGTCACAGGTAGTTAACAGGAACGTGATACCAAGGTGTCACAGGTAGTAAACAGGAACGTGATACCAAGGTGTCACAGGTAGTAAACAGGAACGTGATACCAAGGTGTCACAGGAAGTAAACAGGAACGTGATACCAATGTGTCACAGGTAGTAAACAGGAACCTGTCCCAAGGTGTCACAGGAAGTAAACAGGAACGTGATACCAATGTGTCACAGGTAGTAAACAGGAACCTGTCCCAAGGTGTCACAGGTAGTAAACAGGAACGTGATACCAAGGTGTCACAGGATACCAAGTTCAGGAACCTGTCCCAAGGTGTCACAGGAAGTAAACAGGAACGTGATACCAATGTGTCACAGGTAGTAAACAGGAACCTGTCCCAAGGTGTCACAGGTAGTAAACAGGAACGTGATACCAAGGTGTCACAGGTAGTAAACAGGAACGTGATACCAAGGTGTCACAGGTAGTAAACAGGAACCTGTCCCAAGGTGTCACAGGTAGTAAACAGGAACCTGTCCCAAGGTGTCACAGGTAGTAAACAGGAACCTGTCCCAAGGTGTCACAGGTAGTGAACAGGAACGTGATACCAAGGTGTCACAGGTAGTGAACAGGAACGTGATACCAAGGTGTCACAGGTAGAAACAGGAACGTGATACCAATGTGTCACAGGTAGTAAACAGGAACGTGATACCAATGTGTCACAGGTAGTAAACAGGAACGTGATACCAATGTGTCACAGGTAGTAAACAGGAACGTGATACCAATGTGTCACAGGTAGTAAACAGGAACGTGATACCAATGTGTCACAGGTAGTAAACAGGAACTTGTCCCAAGGTGTCACAGGTAGTAAACAGGAACTTGTCCCAAGGTGTCACAGGTAGTAAACAGGAACGTGATACCAAGGTGTCACAGGTAGTAAACAGAAACAAGTCCCAAGGAGTCACAGGTAGTAAACAGGAACCTGTCCCAAGGTGTCACAGGTAGTAAACAGGAACGTGATACCAAGGTGTCACAGGTAGTAAACAGGAACGTGATAGCAAGGTGTCACAGGTAGTAAACAGGAACGTGATACCAAGGTGTCACAGGTAGTAAACAGGAACCTGTCCCAAAGAGTCACAGGAAGTAAACAGGAACGTGATACCAAGGTGTCACAGGTAGTAAACAGGAACGTGATACCAAGGTGTCACAGGTAGTAAACAGGAACCTGTCCCAAGGAGTCACAGGTAGTAAACAGGAACGTGGTACCAAGGTGTCACAGGTAGTGAACAGGAACGTGATAACAAGTTTTCACAGGTAGTAAAGAGGAACGTGATAACAAGGAGTCACAGGTAGTAAACAGGAACGTGATACCAATGTGTCACAGGTAGTAAACAGAAACCTGTCCCAAGGAGTCACAGGTAGTAAACAGGAACCTCTCCCAAGGTGTCACAGGTAGTAAACAGGAACGTGATACCAAGGTGTCACAGGTAGTAAACAGGAACGTGATACCAATGTGTCACAGGTAGTAAACAGGAACGTAATACCAAGGTGTCACAGGTAGTAAACAGGAACCTGTCCCAAGGTGTCACAGGTAGTAAACAGGAACGTGATACCAATGTGTCACAGGTAGTAAACAGAAACCTGTCCCAAGGAGTCACAGGTAGTAAACAGGAACCTGTCCCAAGGTGTCACAGGTAGTAAACAGGAACGTGATACCAAGGTGTCACAGGTAGTAAACAGGAACGTGATACCAAGGTGTCACAGGTAGTGAACAGGAACGTGATACCAAGGTGTCACAGGTAGTAAACAGGAACGTGATACCAAGGTGTCACAGGTAGTAAACAGGAACGTGATACCAAGGTGTCACAGGTAGTAAACAGGAACGTGATACCAAGGTAATGATATCATGCCCACATGATTGTTCTCACACCTGTAGATGAAACACATTCTTTTTTACCTATATGCTAGCTTCCTTATCGCTGTTACACATATCGTACATATTAAACAAACATTCAGGCGTTACGAAACTCTAATGTAAAACACGATGTCTCAGCCACCAAGTCCTATGAATTTGCTTACATTTCTTATGAACATACAGATATCCCTATATAATATTGCCTTGATCTATATATATACTTATATCACGATATGCCAACGTAACCGTATTCCTGATACCGGGCTCTCAGCTATCAGCCAAGGAAAGTGATGGCTCCGACGAACAGTTAGGAATGCGTGGACAACACATAGATTAAATTCATTTCAATATTTGTAGATTAAATTCATTTCAATATTTCATATATTTTAGACGAACTAGGGATAAACTTTCTTGTTTCTTTATTATAAATGAAACGGGTGAAGACATTTTTATGTGGATGGGACTGCTAGTGCATGTATACACAATAACTCAGTGTATGGTTAATGCTGGCAAACACGATATATTTTCAATCATTTAAGATAAATGTTGATCGGACACACCATCCCATACCCTCGACACGTCACCCAATAAACACACCATCCGATACCATCGACACTTCAACTAATATACACACCATCCGATATCCTCGACACGTCACCCAATAAACACACCATCCGATACCCTCCAAACGTCACCCAATAAACACACCATCCGATACACTCGATACGTCACCAAATAAGCACACCATCCGATACACTCCATTAATCACCCAATAAACACACCATCCTTTACCCTCGACACGTCACCCAATAAACACACCGTCCGATACCCGCGACACGTCAACTAATAAACACACCATCCGATACACTCGACACATCACTTGATAAACACACCATCCGATACAATTGACACTCCACCCAATAAACACATCATCCGTTTCCCTCGAAACATCACCAAATAAACACATCATCCTTTATCCTCGACACGTCACCCAATAAACACACCATCCTTTTCCCTCGAAACATCACCTAATAAACATATCATCCTTTATCCTCGACACGTCACCCAATAAACACACCTTCCGATACACTCGATACGTCACCAAATAAATGCATTTACTATTCGTTATTCGATATTTCATACAACCGTTTTCTGGTGTTCTTCATTAGTTCTATAAAGAAATGACACTACCGATAAAATCACGCATTTTATTTGAATCATACCAAAATAATATTTTGCTGAAATAAAATTACATTCAATATAAAATTCCATCAAATCAGAATGATGAACTGATGAATTTCTAAATCATTCTTCATCTCCACAAATAAGAAACTGATTTCTGACTCGTTACGCTGTAATACTGAGAAAACTCAATCGAGAAATTCATTAAAGTCGCTACTTATGTAGTATCTAGTTGTAAGCAAGCACTAGTAATAAAAAAAAAAAAGTAAACTACAATCTCCGTAAATACCATACCGGAGACTATGTCATGCTCTACTGCTAAAATACCTATATTTAGGAAGACATGACAGAAGGGAAGTAACTCCCACAGATTATAGAGAAGAGAACTATGATTTGACTAGGGGAAATGATTCCTTGTAAAATGAACTCTTGAAACATGTTGACAATTGATGACGAATTGTTTGGTTATACTGCTTCAGTTTTACGATAATTCAGAGAGCCAATCAACTCTAGCTTCCTCGTTTTCATTGGATTCTAAGTCTCCACACTTTATAGTTCAGGTTACGTCATAATATACTGCTTACTCGAGAAGTAAAATTGATTGAATGGGGTTTTAAAGAACCCCAAACAGCATTGGTCTGTCTAATCATCACAGTAAAACATTTCTCCTATAAGGATATTTGATTTTCCTCGGTACAGGAAATCATTCTTCCTGTGATTGAGACAATTTTCACTTCAAAGACAAGTGAACGGTGCTATTCGTATATGGTTGGTAACTTACTGGATACTTTTGTAAAATTTGAAAATAAATCGAGAAAAAATAAATGTGTTAAATACACCCTGACTGAGATCAGTGACACGTACACTCACCAGAATTGGAAATCAAAGACACGATAGATTCTTCTAAATCAACCGATCAACTCTTTCTCACAGACAAACAAATGAGGACAGCTTTCCACCAAGCGTGATAACTTCGATTTCCATTGTGTATGGTAATTAGATGTTTCAGTGTTTACCTGGTACATGTCGATTTGGTTCGATATTTGACAGATTCACAACACAGGATATCGGGAGAGGTTGGTTGATAAAGACTAGGAGGAAGTTTATAACAATCACCATTTTACTCGCTGAGAAATAATGCTTTTGCTAGAGCGGTTTAAAATTACATGTGTTCGATGTTCATTGCTGGTTAGTACAGCTGACGATTTTGTTTCTGATTTGTGAGCAGGACATTTCTTACTCAATTAGACTGACAAATATTACACATGATGGATATTGATAAAGCGGAAAACGCCTCGTTCCATTGAGTTTGAATTAAGAGTTTGTTAGGACATTAGTATATTAGTGCACGATGATGATAAGGGCCGTCAGGTACACGTGTTCTATACCGTGTCATAAACAAGAAGCACGCGTGGCTATCACATTACCCTGAGCTATCAGTATTTATGCCGAAAGAACAATACAACTGAAGTATTTTGTCCATCCAGGATTCCTCACTGATGATAGGAACCTCAACTACAACAACAAAATAAAATACCAACATGTCAACTTATTTATAATCCAAACTAAAATTTAATCAAGATAGAAAAAATATGAACAAAACATATTCTTATATGGTGACTTCTGAAAGAGCGCGAGGAGAATAAGGCCAGGTGTTCCGGAAGAGTAAGCGTCCTTTGCTTCATCGACAATACCCGCCATGTTAACCTTGGCCAATCCAAGTAAGTAATGTCATGTTCTCAAATGAGAACAAAGTATACAACAATGGAACCAACAGGAAAACTAACGAGCATCAACCACTTCCAGCATCATGTCGCACAAAAAATAGAATGTTTCTCAGTGAGATCACTATGACGACCACAGAACTACTACATCTTTCGAAACCCCGTGTTCTGAGTTCGTCTGTCAGTTGACGGTTTCTTTCACGAAAATCAAGAGAATGAGAACAGGCCCTTGAATATCGAATCAACTGTAGTATATAAACGCCATAGGTTGGGGTTGCAGGAGTGTTGCTATCCAATAATGGGAGATTCACAATAGGGAAATTGAAATCATTACGTTTATCATTCAGCTTGGTTGTTGGTTTGTTTGTAGGAAAAGATCGAGACAATCGTCTGATTTAGAAGTCTGTAGTGTGTTTCATTTCTAGATGGTATATATGATGGACGTGATCAATAAAAATTCTTGTTATTTGAATACAAGACGTCATCAATTAGAGTTTAACTAGAATAATGGTCAGATTTATGCTCGTCATAGTGGTTTTAATTAAAAGTTGTCCAGTTCATTTTCAAGTTGGATGTGAGCAATAAATTTTATTTTAGCAGATGGCCGATGTACATGGACAATGCCTCATATTTAGACTTAATTTGAAGCAAACTTTCCTAATCGTTTTTGAAAACGAGATGATCTTCCTGTTGTTTATCTAAATGCTCCCTGTCTTTACACGTTGTGTTAGAGTGATTATTTGGCCGATAAACAGTTTGTAGACATGTAGAGATTAGAAGGTGAATGACTTCCACATCTCTGAATCGACAGTGGTAAAACAGGTCCTAGCTGAAGTCTACTCCATACATTGTATATATATGGTTACAGATGTCACACACCACTTTGGAGCAGTTAAGATCATATTATCATCTGTGAACAGGTAGCATGGCAAACAATGATAAAGGAGCTATTAAAGTAAACCAGTCAGAGTAGTTACAATGTAACACGTGACACGTCAAATAAAGTTTATGTATAAATCTACAGAACACATATTCCTACATTACATACACATCTGCATCACGTACACATCTATATCACGTACACATCCACATCACGTACACATCCACATCACATACACATCTATATCACATACACATCTACATCACATACACATCTACATCATATACACATCTACATCACATGCACATCTACATCACATATACATCTACATCAGATACACACCTACATCACATACACATCTACATCACATACACATCTACATCACATATACATCTACATCACATTATACCCTACAACCTGTAATTTCCTGACAACTACGTTATGAGACATATGTGATACTGTATCTTATAAAACTGCAGCATAAAATAGTATCCGGGTTGAATTAACAAATCATTACGCAAGGGACACAAAATGCTGTTGTGGTTACGATATTATATAAGCGGTATGAACTGCAACAGTATAGTTGATAATATGTACAAAATTATATATGTTAGCCAAAACGTTGTTGTTTTTGTAAATAAGGAGCACTGTGTTATACTGGTAACATGACACTTAATACAATGTACAACTATTGAATCCTAAAACAAATCAAAGTACTGAAAGTACTGAGAGGCTAAACGTATTGAAAAATGTTCACAAATAACCGCTAAGCTATATTACTTTCCCCATACTCCTACACTTTGGAATGCAAAAATGACTAAAATAAGAGATCCAGAGGCTATTTTTCTTAATTTTAAGCGATTTTATATCTTCTTTAATTCTTATTTCAAATTTGACGACAATAATGTGAATAAATATAAATATGTAAAAAACAATAACAAAATATACACAACCATATATTTATCGCCAACAAGCCAAATGATAAATAGCTCTATGATGAAGTTGACTAAATAAAACCTTTGAAATACCCAAGATGTTGCAATTACTATCCTATCAATATGAGGATTTAGACAAATCGAAAGGACTTTATACCTACTTCTTTATTTTGAATGTATTGCAAAGTAATAGTCCTTACTTATTATAATTAAATTTGTAGTTGAGGAAAGTAGATAAGGCGTACACAGCATTTCAGATAGATAAAAGTGTAAGTAATTACATTAAATATATTTACATGCCTATCTTCCTTGAAGTATCATGGGTATCATGGTTAGACTTTTCTTACAGTAATTATGTCTATAAAGGCATAGTTCTATGAGATTAAACCAGACTTACATATACAAAATTTACAATATTTTCACTATAGCTACTACTATTTCTTATCTCCAATGCATTAGATAATGTCACCATGACACACTAAATGAATAAATATGTTATGGAAATATTTCGTGTTAGTTAATTGATAATTATAAACGTGAATATTTTGGGATTTTTTATACACGCTTTGTTTGAAGGAATATTTTCATTTCAAGGCACTTTGATACACATTAACAATCCTTGAAAAATCAGCACAATCAACCTTCATCAAATAAAACTAAAAGGCAAAAAATACAAGTTATAACAAAGTCAACATCATGATCAGTACAGTATTAAAAATATATTATTAATAAATCATGAGCACCAAATGTACCTTGCCCACGAAGCGCAAACTTTTTATCTACAAAAACTTGAAAAAGTGTCATGGCGGTGGGTGTGAAAATCCTGAAAAAGTGTCATATCGGCGGGTGTGCGCGTAGGACGAACAGTCAAATTTTGTGACGTCTAATGAGGTAAAGTAATGTTATATATTAAGAAGATCTTGCCACAACGACAAATATTAAAGCAAAATTGATGTTCTGTTTGTAAGTTTTGTTTGTTTATAAGTGCTGTTAGTTGATAATTCAAACCAAGCCCCCAGACTAGCTTCTTATCATGGCGCCAACTCGCACGTACAGTGTTCTGTACGCTTACGTCATGTCGAGAATTCCGTCAAATATATTGTTCAAAATTTATTATCTCTTTTTTGAAATATATAGTAATCGTATTGTTATTAAAAAATAAACTAATTTTGGATGCTTGTAAAATAGCGATTTAAAAAATCGCGGCATTATTAACGCAGAAAATTGCCGCTAGAGGTATCTAACTCTTTTCGATATTTCAGCCAATGAGAAGGCCAGGATCGGTCACATCAATTTCTACACTAGAAAACCGTCGCAATGGGCTATGTCACATCAATACGTTTACACTAGAATACAACCAAGTCAATTGCATGATGTCACATCAATATTTACACTAGACTAAACATGTCAATGGACGGTGATGTCACATCAATATTTGATAACATAACACAGTGTGTGAAACGTGATGTACGTTGTGACATGATGTCACATCAATATTCTACACTAGACTAAACAGGTCAATGGACATGACGTCACATCAATATTCTACACTAGAATCACATGGTCAATGGACATGATGTCACATCAATATTTTACACTAGAATCACCTGGTCAATGGACATGATGTCACATCAATATTCTACACTAGACTAAACAGGTCAATGGACATGATGTCACATCAATATTTTACACTAGACTTAACAAATCAATGGACATGATGTCACATCAATATTCTACACTAGACTAAACAGGTCAATGGACATGATGTCACATCAATATTCTACTCTAGACTAAACAGGTCAATGGACATGATGTCACATCAATATTCTACACTAGACTAAACAGGTCAATGGACATGATGTCACATCAATATTCTACACTAGACTAAACAGGTGAATGGACGTGACGTCACATCAATATTCTACAGGTCAATGGACATGATGTCACATCAATATTCTACACTAGACTAAACAGGTCAATGGACATGATGTCACATCAATATTCTACACTAGACTAAACAGGTCAATGGACATGATGTCACATCAATATTCTACACTAGACTAAACAGGTCAATGGACATGATGTCACATCAATATTCTACACTAGACTAAACACGTCAATGGACATGATGTCACATCAATATTCTACACTAGACTAAACAGGTCAATGGACATGATGACACATCAATATTCTACACTAGAGGTCAATGGACATGATGTCACATCAATATTCTACACTAGACTAAACAGGTCAATGGACATGATGTCACATCAATATTCTACACTAGACTAAACAGGTCAATGGACATGATGTCACATCAATATTCTACACTAGACTAAACAGGTCAATGGACATGACGTCACATCAATATTCTACACTAGACTAAACAGGTCAATGGACATGATGTCACATCAATATTCTACACTAGACTAAACAGGTCAATGGACATGATGTCACATCAATATTCTACACTAGACTGAACATTTCAATGGACATAATGTCACATCAATATTCTACGCTAGACTAAACAGGTCAATGGACCAGACGTCACATCAATATTCTACACTAGACTAAACAGGTCAATGGACATGATGTCACATCAATATTCTACACTAGACTAAACAGGTCAATGGACATGATGTCACATCAATATTCTACACTAGACTAAACAGGTCAATGGACATGATGTCACATCAATATTCTACACTAGACTAAACAGGTCAATGGACATGATGTCACATCAATATTCTACACTAGACTAAACAGGTCAATGGACATGATGTCACATCAATATTCTACACTAGACTAAACAGGTCAATGGACATGATGTCACATCAATATTCTACACTAGACTAAACAGGTCAATGGACATGATGTCACATCAATATTCTATACTAGACTAAACAGGTCAATGGACATGATGTCACATCAATATTCTACACTAGACTAAACAGGTCAATGGACATCATGTCACAT